CTGGTGCAGCAGGCTGTTCGGATGTCTTCGTCTCCTGTGTTACTTCTTAAACAAATTATTTCACAAATGTTAACGTCGCCTAAACTGTCATATGGTTGTGGAGAATAAAAAGATTTAATCCAAGCATGGCCTTGTTATCAGGATCTATCAAATGAAAATTTGAAATAATCTGTATTGTATGATTTTTGTTTTTAAATGGTATGTGTGGGCTTTAAATATCACAGAGGCATAGCTTACATATTTGTCAACAGGATTTTTATGCAAATATGAATGTGGAGAGGAAGAGTATGTGAGCAGGCCCAAAGCTCCCCGTGTAGTTTGCGTGTGCAAGTCTGTGAGGTCAAAAACAGGGACAGAGCCTGTCCGCACAGCCCGGCGATACTCTCCCTGGCTGCTCACATCTCAGTGCGGAGCCTGAATACAGCATCCCTGAGAACGTGCCACTGTCACAGGAATTTTCTGAGCTCTGAGAGCCTGTGTAATTTATACTTTTGGGAAGCAGGAACGTTAGCAGGGGAAAAGGAAAATGTGTTTCAGCCCCCTCTGTAATTTTGTCCTCTGCTCTTACTGCAGGCTGGGTGGTATGGGCAAAGGCTCTTCGGCTCTGTGTGTGTCTAGTGAGGTATCTCCACTAATTCCAGCTGATTTACACTGGCTAAGAACCTATAGCTTAAATGTTTTAAAGATAGACAAAGATTTTATCTGTGGAAGAAACTGGAAGGAAATCTCTCATGCGTTTCAACACCTGCCATATGTCCAGATCTTCCAGTAAGGAAAACAGCAACCGAATCAGCCAATGTTTAAGGAAACTTCTCTAATTTACACATGGTAAGGACATGCTGGATAATCTTACTCATTATAGTTTAATCTACCTTCACAATTAGATAAACAAACTGAAACCATTAAGAATCTTCAAAATTTATCCTAGACTATAACCAGTCCTCATCATCAAACTTCTAATTGTAAACCAAACTTTTAATTGTAAACACTGCAAATAGTGGTGAAATGTTTGCTGCTTGCTAGGGATTCCTACCAACCACTGTTGGACTATTTATGATGTGGGACCAGAGAGTTTTGCAGCCGCTGAAATAAAATCATGTTTTCACAGTAGCTTCTGAAAGAGCCTTGTGCCAGTTAAAAAAAAAAAAAAAAAAAAAAAAAAAAAAAAGTATTTTGGGAAATCACACGAGAACTGTCTATCATATATGCCAGCATATCACCCAGGTGATGAGCTACAAATACTTTTCCATTCTTCTTTCAGTATTGAAATAAAATAGAGGAAAGTTACTAAAAATACGTTACATTCTTATGCCAGAAGATCAAGACATACTTAAATTGAACAACAACCTGGAAAAATATTAGCAAATAGAAAGGCTATGGCTTTGGGGGGGAATCCCTTATTTGGCATGTTCATCAGTAATTAAGGACGTTTCTTACCTGCTCAATGATCAGAACAAACTTTAGGCAGTACCTGCCAACCCCAGAAACAAACAATGATTTTCCAGCCTTTTCCTTGCTGTCAGTAAAACCTGCAATTCAGAGCATGTGCTCCACTGCCTGACTGCAAAATAAACCTGTCTCCCTCAAGGAGAAAGCTGCAGTGCAAATGTTATTTGCCCTCTGATATGGAAGCATGAAGTTCTCTGGATGTGGCAGTTACCATGGCCACAAACCAAACCAGCCCGGCAGAGGCGAATCCGGCTCCCAGCCGCCCCCTGTCCTCCCGCCGGACGGGGGGATGCTGTGTGCCCTGCGATTTTCCCCGGGCGCGTCCACAACAAGTGCTTTAAGTGCAGCAGGGCTGATGCCATGGCAGCAATACAGAGGATTTAGGGTGCAGGAGCTGATAAGAACTTCAGCGGGCAGACGTAGTGCCCTGGAAAACAAAAATATTCCTATCGAGCTTTTTCTCTGCCCAGGAATCTTTGAAGTCAGGCTGTGTTGCTCCTTGTTTGTTCCAGCGGAAGGTGTTAAAAAGAAATCTCGGTGACATGACAGGATGTGACTCGCTATCTTCAGAAAACAAGTTCTGGGTGTTATTAACAAATGCCCCCTTGTACTGTGAAATATAGCGTTGGTCTTAACTTTCTCCACTTTCTTCGCACTTACTGAAGAGCAATTAGCCAATAAACAGGTAATTATAATAATATCCTATAATAAAACCTATGACAACTATAGCAGCAATATGAACAATGCCATTTTCCTCACCAGGCTAGGTTGAAATCAAAGCCTTCAGTTTAATAACCAAGTCTATTTTAGATCCAAAGGGAAAACCGAGACTAGCATGCAGAAGAGAGTTCCTATTTACAAGGGGAGGTAACGGAGCCGTATTCTACTGACACCGCTTGCTCTTCACAGAACTAAAATTGTTGATTTTCCTTCCTGCAGCTGGTTAAGGGTTTGGGCCTCTTCTTGAGGCAAGTGAGCCTCACAGTATCTTGCCCTTCGGTGAAATAAAATTATACCTGCTTGTACCAGCTGTACCATTTTTTAAAGTTACAATTCTGCTAAAAAAGCCAGTTTTCACATGGACATTTAGAAGTACTTTTTTCTTCTTAAGGCTTTCTCCTTGCCAAACTTTAGTCTAACTAAAGTCAGTGCTTATGTAGCTCAGAAATATTTCTAAGTAACAGAAATTTGTACTACTGCGTTGTTATCCTGAAATACAGCACAGTTTTGCTTAAACTGAAAACTCATTTCAGGAGGAAAATCACAGCTTGAAAATGAAAGTTTCTAACAATTAAGAGAAAGATAAAAACCAGTGGATACAGTGAAAACAGACATGTACCCTGGATTCTAGCAACTATACAATTTCTACACATTTGTCATACAAATACATTAAATACAACAATATTGTGATTATCAGTAAAAACAGGGGCACAGTTACCTGCCTGCTTAGCGCTATTTGTGCATACCAATGTACTACAAACTAAACAGGCTTCTATCTTATTTCCACTTGCAGTGAAGTATTTCCCTACTAATCCCATACGGCTTGCTTTTCGCCGTGTGTACTTGTCTCTTCAATGGAATTAAACCTGCAGTTTAAATTAACTGAGATGCTCAAGCCAACCATCCACAAAGTTATCTAGTACGTTCACTGGCCATCTTTATTCTGTTTCACCCATATACCAATTTTCGTTTTGTTAGGTTTTGTTTCACTTTCTCACAGTCCAATCTTCCCACTCTACAGCCAATCTGATGAAGTTGTGAGGTCGGTGGATTCCCTCTGCATATTACTACTTTTTCTGCCACAGTCATTAATGAAAACAGTAAACAGATTGGTCCCAAAATGGATTCCATTTGTAGATGCTGGATGTTTTTAAAGAATACTTACGATTTACAATACAACAAAAATCAGTCAAGACATAATAGCGCGAAAAAGGCACAATCAACCGCACGTGTTATCTCTCCAAAATGTTTCAAAATTTCTCCATTTCAAACTCCTTTATCGTTCCTGCTCTTCCACCTCTCTTACCTTCTGCCTGCTTTTCTGTTCTTTCTCTGTTCCATCCATCTTTCCCTCTCATTCTCAGATCAAAGTCAAGAATACTAGTTCAAGCTCAGGGAAGGTGGGAGTTCAGCGTTAATATTCCTCACCCAAATCTTTGGATTCAGTTTACAACATCTGAAGAGCATTATGCACCCCACACACAAAGGATTCCAAGGCCTGAAAAGTTTCCTGACTAAATGGGAAAAAGTAGATGCTTTACTCAGGATCCTCCGAGATATTAAGAGCACAAAGAGAATGAATGTCTTTGCCCATCACAGAATTTCCCAAGGTTGCCATTTAATTTATAAGTCTGATGATTCTCAAGAAATTGAAGTGCGCACTTATGTTGTAAACAAAAAACTTCAGATAAAAACGTATGAAGAAAGCAAGAGAGAAAGCTTCCTTGAAGGATAAAAAAAACTTCCAAAAAGTAAATACAGGAAAAAATCCAACTCCAAACTTACCCTTCTCAGTTTTTCATCTAGATAGAGGATACTGATGAGTATTTTTTGAAGCCTACCATTAATCTTTCTATTGCTATTGATATTACACAAGGTTAGTTTGATATTATGGAGTATCCCAGATATCATGAATGACTTTATAATGACTCAAGATATACAGATATATTAAAACTAGGTACTTCACAGTGACTCAGTGAATTCTAGTTACACGAAAAATAATTCTGAATGAAATTACTACATTTGGACAATAGGTACTTTTTCAGTGCCAAATCTAATGGTGGAGACTAGTAGGAAGAGAAGGGATATTTTTTTCCTGTGTTCAGGAAGATGTTTTTTCTGCCAGCACAACATTTACCATAGTTTTGGGAAACTGAATCTCTAAGAATTGAAACAGACTGAATGTGATTTACTTTCAACAATTCACATCACATGCAAAACAAAATGGGTCAGGAGTCTCGTTATTTTCTCATCTTTCCTTATGCCTGTTTGACTATGACAGAAATTCAAGGGACAGTTTTCCTGCTAAGAAGATTAAGCCAAAGACACTAATCATTTGGCCTGTTCTTTAACGACAGAAACTAACAGTTAGGGCCAACATAAATAATTAAATAACAGAGCCCTGATGGTTCCTCACCAGCCCACGTAGAACTATAGTCTGACAAGGTATCAGCTTGAAAACATCCAGCAAAAAAAAATATCTATGGGTGGTCTTGTTCAAAATTCATCTTACTGCATTGAAAATAAGATCAGCAAACATTACTGACCAGCAAGTCAGGTGCTAAGAAATGCTTCATGCAGATGGCATTTATAAAAAAACCATAGAGCCATCAGAAGAAAGAGCGAGCAAACACTGCTGCTGACCAGAATGGCAGAGGATAAATGACACAAAGAACTCCAAAATCTCTGCCTGAGAACAGCATGGTTGTATTACATGTTAATCACATCTCTCTTAATCTATGTTATTTACATTACACATCCCAGGAGGGCTACCAACACAAAAATCACTTCTACAAGGCTTAAGAAAATTAGGTCATAGAAGATCTCCCTACCTCAGTATGGAAATGTGGAGATGATGTCACAAGATTCAGCGCCAACGAGTGGAGTAGGGGAGATGATTCCTATTCAGACTGGAAGAAGTTGGTACAAACTCTCCAGATCAATGCCTGCAAATGAAAGAATATGAAGTATATAAGGAATCCTGAAGAGTTTGGAATAATGCACCAAAAGAACCAGAAGTTTGTTTATAGCATGGAGTTGTTAATATTTTTTTATCTGTGTTCAGCTCCAATTCAGTCAACATTCCCAACCGTTCTACCTCTCCTGCAACTGAAAGCTGACCTGTAGCATCTTTATATGATAGGTACATGTTGCGTTCCAGACAGCTGCACTTTCCAGCTTCCGGGCTTAATATAGAAAAGACTGTATCAGCTACATTTAGGTGGCCTTGCCAATGGAAAACCTACAAGTTTATCTGTACCATGGACTCTGACTCGTCCATCAGCACAGATAGAAGTTCTGTGGTCTTATTTTTCTGTTTTAACCACTGCAGCTCAGTACTGTTGCTCATGTAACAAGCAGGGGAGTAGATGGATAAGGAAGGAAAACAAACACAATGAAGAGTTAGGAGAAACAGTTGGATTCATGAGAAGCCTTCTGCTTCCCAAAGAAAAGCGTCACTTTCAGCGCACAGCTTGGCATCCAGATGGATGACTGAACAGGAGGTGTGATGCAACCGATGTCAGGAGGTCTCCAGGATGGGAACTCTTCCATTCCGATGGTCGTTCTTGTTGCAGACCCACCTCTGCAGCTGTCGTGCATTTACAAGTAGGAATTACAGAAGCCTAGTGAAATAGTTTGCCTCTCCCCAATTTGTTACTCCTCTGTCTACCTTCTTCTACACTTGAACTCATTTTACCATTTTCTTTCTTGGTAAGAGTGTTGTATATCAGCCTCGGCCTTGGATGGCATCTGACAAGGAGAAAAAGCACGCAGAACTCTAGCATGGGCTTGAGAGAGAAATCCTGGCCAGCTGATGGTTATATCAGCTGAGACTGCAACCTGCCAGTCTGCAAATCCCAGTCACGGGCAGAGCCGTGGTGAGACGATGCCTCCTTCTCGCCCTGACTTAGGGAGCTTTAGCCTGAAAGTGAGTGGTGCACAACAACACAACTATGGGACACGAACGTGTGTGAGACACAGCAGGTGAAAGGCTAAAGTGGCACTGATTCAAAGCTTGGTTTAAACATAAACAATAGAAAAAGGAAGCTATTTGAAATAAAAAAGATACTTTCAGAAAAATGGAAGTTGTTTCCAAACAATGAAAATAAAAAAGGACATAAATCTAGCAAGCTAAATGCAAAACCATGATAAGGTAAGCCGAAACAGGTCCCGAAGAACAATTGTTAGAGTTATGAGAGCTAATAAAAACTTTTCAAACACAAAAGCAGGAAACCTGTCAGTCACCTAGCACAGCTGATGGATGATCAAGGCGTAAAGGGAGGAATTAAGAAAGATAAGGACACAGCAGCAAAATTAAATTAATTCTTTGCACTGCTGTTCGCTATGGAGGAGGTCAGGAAGGTTCATACACCAGAGCAACAAATCACCAGAGGCAGACAGTACTCCCTCAAGAGTTTTAAAAGAGTTCATATATGAAATTGCTGAACTTTCTTTCTTCCTTTGTATCAGAGGATCGGAAGGTGACAAACCTTTAAAACAGGCTTTAGGAGCGATTGTGGGAATTACAGACCAGAAAGTCACATTTCCAGAACAGGCAAAATGGTAGAAAACTGTTGGACTGATCTGAATTAGCAGAGATGAGTAAACACGGTGTCTTGGGGATGAGTCTCAAAGCCAAGAGAAGAATGTATATGTATAGATCTGAGTTTTCTGACGGAGGAAACAGCCCTGCTAATACGGGAGATTTGGGCTGATATAGTAGAATCAGATTTTCTAAAAGCTTTTCTAGAACATCCCTCACTAAAGGTTCTTAAGGAAACTAAACTGTCATGGAGTAAGGAGGATTAATCTTCCTGCGAATTCTCGATAAAAAGATAGGGAAAAAAAGGGTACAAACACAACGTTAGCAAGGGAGGGGAGCAGAAATTCTGCACTGCTTCAGCATACTCATAAATAACCTGGAAAGAGGAGATAGTGAACTGACACACAGATAATGAAGTTAACACACAGAGTTTTTCAGGAAAGTCAAGTTTAAAACTAACTGAGAAGAGTTCCTGAAAAACCTCATGGAGTTCAGTGACCGGGAGATAAAATGCAAGTGCACGTCCCTGGTTGAAGAAGATCCTGGTTTTAACCAGGCATTTTAAATCTGCCTTCTTTTAAAGGCAGATATTTGCTTGCTTTAGTAAATGGGTTGGCTTGAGGAACAACTTGATACTGGTGTCATTTGGACTAGTGGGAGAGGAAAGGTTAAGTCCTAAGTCTGCTTTTTTTTTTTTTTTCTTTTTTGCACATAGAATAGCATCCCCCAACCTTGGGGAATCCTTAGAGGAAGAGCAGAGGAACAGAAAGCTGAAGCTCCTCATTTTGGCCATATAACAGTATTAGTTACTTGGACTTTGGCAGATATTTTGAGGATAGATTCCCCCAGTCTCTGTGGTGGTACTGGAGATGAGACAACAGTATTGCTGCTACCAGGTTAGTTACAGGATAATACATGATTCCACCCTCTGACAGATTAGATGAAAGAAGAAAGCTCTGCCATGGATGGGAGAAATCCCCCCTGGTTTTGGGAGAATGGGGAGCAAACACCTCCCACCTTGGGGAATTGTCCTCCAAATCCGATTGCGAAGTGGAGGAAATCCCTTTTGCCGTTCTGGGCTGGACTTGGGTGGGAAAGGGTTGCTGAAGTTGCTCTCCCCCCACCCAGGAGCATGCCTGTGAATGGCATCGTGCTCCGAGGCTGGAGTGGCTTGCTGCCCTGCTCCCTCCTGCTCCTGGTGCCACCCCAGCGGGCAGAGGCCGTGGCCCTCGGCTCTGCAGTGCAGGGCGAGGGGCAGGTAGAGGCTGCGCCTCCTTCAGCACTGAGGCTCTGTGGAGATGCACATGAGGCTGAACTTCTGGGGCAACTGGCTGTGGCACCTTCTTGTGCCCCACGAGCGGCCCCTGCTCGCCTCCCTCAGCCGGCGGGATGGTGGGGAGGGGGGCAGAAGGAGAGAAACAGCCACAAAATTATCTTTTTCCAGAAAGGGGGCTCTGGTGGCAATGAGGCTTGTCCCTCTGCCTGGCCTCATCCGTTCCTCTCCTGGTGCTCAGGATTGACACGGGAATCCCTTTTGCCTGGCTGCAACTGACAGGGAGCTTTCTCCCTCAGCAGCTGCCTTGATTTTACAGCAGCTGAGTTACTGTATGGCAAATAAAGAGCATCTGACAATGCCTACACTAAATTAAACTGGAGACCAGTTTCTGCCAGCACAGAAACAAAGCACGTGGCAAAGAGCTGGGGCGCGGCGGCGAGGGGGAGCAGCAGGCGGTTGCCGAGACGCCTGCCCACCGAGGGCAGCAATGCGGGCAGCACCCTTCCCTGCCTTTGTGCGGGGCTGTCGGGCAGCGCTGCGGGGCACTGCTCTGAAAGGCGCGTGCACTTGTTTTGTCCTGCTGCATGCCCACATACTGAGGCTGCTTGTTTTCATCTGATCACAATTAGCACCGTGCTAAATTTCTCGTGCCCTGCACTAATTCAGGAGGATGGGCATGTCACACCCTGCCAAGAATTACAGCCGGCCGCCGCCGAGACAGGGGCATGCCTACCCTTTCATTAAGCTTTTGTTTCAAAAAGGAGGGCTCGAGGACTCTCCTTTTTTGTCAGAAATACCCGTGGAGGCGCTGGAGGGTGCAGAGGCCATGCGGTTTGGCCTAAAGGATGGGGGGGTGCATGTGTGTGAATGTGCAGCAAGGCAAGGGTGCTGCACTCCCTGATCCGTCATGGCTAACTGGCAAATTTAGAAAAATCCGCTATCTCCAAGACGCTGAAAATCCAGAGCTGCATCAGTGCTGCAAAGCTTGTGCAGTGCGCTGTGCACGTGCTGCAGGAACAGAGACGGGAGCGCATCCCCTCCCGCCCCGTACCGCAAACGAGCCGCAGAGTTACGAGCCAGGACAAGGCACGCAACTGAAAATTGCACCCACTGTCCCGCCCCACTTCGTGTCTCTGGATGGCTATGATTAAACCAAATATTCTCAGGGCAGGGCTATGCCCAGGTTGCACTTGGCTGACCACATGCAATGTCATTCTGAAAACCTATGGTGAAAATGGAGAAAAAATAATTGGTTCCATTGATACCCTGTATCTGATGGACTCTGCTATCCAGCAGCCACTCCTGCGCACGGGCAGCTCCCAGTGGAGCCATCTCCTCCCCGTGCAAAGGAGCAGCTGCTGGAGGGAGGGAGGGTCCTCCAGCAACCTGCTCGGGCCCCGTGCCCAGGTGCTGCAGGGGCTGCGCGTTCCCCTGCAGACCCAGCCATGCTGGGTGAGGAAAACACGCCGCCTTCTTGTCTTCAGTTGTCATTTGAACATTGCTCCTTGTATAAGCTGGGGATGCCATGATGAAGGCCAAAACATCCACAAATTCTGTCCGTTAAGCCGGTGATGTTCCTAGCATTTTTGGGTGGTGATTCCCACGTGCCTGGTGACGGCCAGCATCTGACACAGGCTCAGCAGTTTGGCTTTTGAAGGACACTTAGCTCTCCTAAAACTGGCCTGCCTGCAGTATCCAACGCCATTGTAGCCTGTATGTACAGGCTATTGTAAAACCTCAGTAATTCACACTGATTTTGTGAAGGATGTTGTGAATTACTGAATTTGTCAGGTTAGCAGTATGAGAGCAAACTGTTCAAAAAGACAGAATAATGCTTCACAAAATGCAATTTAACTTATTTTCCTAATTGTAGATTGATTCCTATTTATGCTAATTCATAACAAATTATAAACTGTATTATGTAATTGGCAAAACGACAATAACACTTTAGTAATCCTAGAGGGGTTTTTGTTTTGTTTTGTTTTTTACACTCCATCGCTTACGTAGGTAGGCATAGACATGGCTGGACCCGTGTCCCCACGTAACCGACACACAGACATAGAAATGCCATTGATTTCAGAGTGCAGCCTCACTCCACACAGCAAATGAAGTCATTTTA